GCTTGGTGTCATCTGGGAAATGACTGAGGGTGCACCTAATCTCCTAATCCAAATAATTGACAAAGACATTAAATAGGACTGACCCTGACCCTGAGCTTTGAGGAGCCCACTAGTGACAGGATGCCAGCTGGATATGACTCTACTCACAAACACCCTATGGGCCCAGCCAGTTTTTAATGCAGTGAACAAGTACATTTACCTAAGACATCAGCCAGAATGCCTTGTGAAATGATGTTAAAGTCTTCAGTAAGGTCCATAGATAGCCACAGCTCTTCCCTCATCCTAAGTGCATCACCTCTTCATAGATCAGGTTGCTCAAGCTACACACTAATATGAAGGGAGAGCAGAACAAAATCTTGCATGTTCTAGAAGTTAAAATGACTGCTGTCTGCAAAGCCCGTACATTTCAAATTGATGTCTACTCACTAGATGGCAGCAGATTCAAAAACATTGCTGGAAAATTACAGCTCAAATCACCCATGAATACCTGATGTAAAGACATGCTTTTGCAGTGAAATAAGAGTATAATAAAACATGGTTAAAATAATAAAACATGGTTAAAAATTTAGCTGGTCTGGATAAGGACAATGCATGGTCAGGGGGAAATGGGAGCACAGGCTTCAGACTGGTCCAGTAAGTAGAGCCTTTTGCCACAATTTCTATGCAATCTCTGCTTTGCCTGCCCTCCCAGGCTGAGATTTCTGCCATTCCTCTGGATCACTAGATTACAGCTAGCATGTACCACATCCAAGACCTCTGTGTCAGCTAACAGAATATATTAGAATAGTTTACCATTCTGTGAAAGACTTTCTTATTCTAATGATGTTTCACCTGAATAATTTCTTTACTCAGAAGTATGGAGACTGTATGAGAGGCAGGTGAAACATATTTAGCTAACTATCATGTTCTTAAAAAGCTCTAGAAGACCTCTTTATCTGATCTTTTCCTCAGAAGTGAGTCACTTCCCTCAGACAGAAAACATGCCTATATCTGTTATAAAATTAAGAATTTGAGAAATAAAAGTCCTGATGAAAAATCTCATAAATTGAAAGGGTAACACCTTCTGTTCATATACATAGAGTTAGAAGACATGTCTGTCCAGTTACATGGATCTGTAAACTTCAGTGTAGTTCCAAAGGTTTGTCAATACTACTGTCGCAGAATTGCAGCAGGGCTGAATTTGGAGGGGACATCTTGAGATTTCCTAGTCTATAAATCTCTGTCAAGCAGAGGAACCTGGAGCAAGTTACAGAGGAACACATCCAGTTGGATTTTGAGTATCTCTAAGGATTGAGATGATGTGGCCTCTCTGGGCAGTCCTGTCAGGCTTTTAACTGTCTTCACAGTAAAAAATACTTTCAAATGGAAATCAGTATTTTGATTTGTGCTCATGTGCTTGTCCTCTCGGTGACATCACTGAGTAGAGCCTGGCTCTGTCATCTCTGCACTATCACATTGTGTACATATGTACACTGATGAAATCCCTTGAGTCTTCCACAGATGAAGAGGCCAGCTCTCTCACACTCTTCCTCTATGAAAGATGCCACAGTCCCTTCATCATCTCTATGTCCCTCTGTAGGACTGGCTTCAATCTGACCATGCTTCTTTTTTGTTTTGAGCATCCCAGAACTGGGCCAAACCTCTATTTAACTCATGAAGCCTGAGTAGAAGGAAAGGATCACATCCCTCAGCCTGCATGTAATGTCCTTTCCAGAAGCTGCTGACATGTTTTTCTTCAAATTTTTGGTTTGTAGTAAATTTGGTGTGCATAAGACCACCAGTCCCTTCTCTGCAGAGCTGGTTTTCAGCCAGTTCAGAACCCAGCATTTACCTGCCCCTGATATTTCTCCTCAGGGTTAAGACTTTGCACTCTGTTTGTTGAACTTCATGGGGTTCCTGTGACCCAGTTTCTCCAGGCTGTCCAGGACCTTCTGGCATATTAGCCTTTCCTCACATTTTTGTACTGTCTGCAGACTTGGTGAGGGCACGCTGCGTACCAGTGTTCCAGTCATTCATGACAATATCAAACAGTAGGGGCTCCAGTATGAAACCATAGGGCTCGCCACCAGAAAATAACCTTCAACTGGACTGCACCACTGATCACAACCTTCAAGCTAGAACAGGAGAGACAGCTACACAGGCACATCCTCCTGATGGAAGTTACATGTCAAACCTGTGGTGCAGTGAAAAAGGCAAAATGGTTCACATGCTGATACAGTCTGCAAATTTTCACCATATAAGTTAAAGGATGCTGGCAAGGGGACTTTGTTAGACTGTGTCTACAACAAAGCTTCTGCTAGAATAAGTAGACTATGGGATTTTTCCATGCCACTGTGAAGTGTAAACCATGCTCAACATGTGAAGGTATAATGAAGCCTGTTGGTGATGCTGTCACAACAGGCAGATGGCAGACATTCCAGGATATGTGCTCACCCCGTAAAACAGATGTCTCCTACTCTCAGAGCAACCAGGAGATTTTGACAAGATTGCTGACGTTACGGAAAATATTAAGCAATAATCCTTTCCATCAACCTAAATCCCAGTTCCTCAGTTAGCTAAAAACATTGTAAGTCTTTTATTAAGTGGATAGTTTTACGACCCCCACATGTTTTTTAGTTCCCAGGTTAATGGATTTTTTGAATATTATAATAAATTATAGGTACAGAACATGACAAATTGCTTATTGTGCAAATTTCTTGTTGTATAGATAGTATTGGTTTCTCTAATTTACTGTTTATAGGAAGCATTGCTTTGTAAGAAGAATTAAATGCTTTCAGTAAATATAGCCTACGTACATGTGCTTACATATATGTGTATATATATGAATGTGTAAACATGAGGAGTCAGATACTCAGTTCTTTAGCACAGATATGTTTCTATTGACTTTAAAAATAGAAAACAGCCATAATTCAGCAAACAGCATGGGCTAAAGTCCCTTTTACATCACGATTTTCTCAAGTTGCTTGCCTGTAACAATTGGGCAGTAAAGAGCTCAAAGTTGTGCACTCTGTGTAGTCAGAAATATCGATCTTCCTTCAATTCTGGGATTCAGTGATGGTCCTTAATTTCTCTAAAATCAGGCTGCCTATGTGTTATCTTTAGACCCATGTGTTATCTTTATGTATTTAAACTGAAAATGTTTGCTCTAAGTTTTAAGGTAAACTAGTTATAGTTGTGATTTTGTAATATGAGTTGTTAAAAGTGAAAAGCTACAGGCAGATGAGAGAGAATATGACTTTGTAATATTGTTCTTTCTGGGGAAAAGTTTCCCATGTTTTACCTCTAAAAGTCTCATTTGAAGCACTGACAATAACAGTTACACAGTAGGACAAGACCCAGAAAATTACTCAGTTCTGGTCAGTATCTTTAGTATGTCATGTAGCTGCACAGTGCAGGTACATATGAACAGAGCTGTATTGGAAGTGGTGCCTGTGGGACCACAGAAGGACCTGTGCTTTGTCCTGTTGCACTCAGCCTCTGTGGTAGGACAGCACACTCCCTGTGCCCCTACAGCTGTAGCTTCTGTCTCTGGCCACTCTGGATAAACAGGGAGAGATGGGATTTTTGCTGCAATCCTCTTGGAGGATGGATGCCATCCTTGTGCCCTAGTGGAATGTGGAGGATTTTCAGTAGTGTCTGGTGTGAACAAGCACTGCTTTCTGCTGAGGCTGTTGGATGCCTGAAAATCTAATGTAAATATGCGAAGTCCCCCAACTCTTCCCCAAAAAGATTTCAGCTTTGGCAAGAGGACATAGCTAAGAAAATTGAAGAAAGCCTGTTTTGGAGGTCACAAGTCCACAGAATTACAGAATAAGCTGAACTGGAAGGGTCCCACAAGAATCATCAAGTCCAGCTACCAGCCCCGCACAGCACCATCCCCAAGTCACACCCTGTGCCTGATAACATTTTCTGAATGCTTCTTGAACTCCATCAGGCTGGTGCTCTGACTACTTCCCTGGGGATCCTGTTCCAGTGCCCAACCACCCTTCACTCTGGGTGAAGAACCTTTTTTCTAATATCCAACCTAAACCTCCCCAGATACAGTTTCAGGCCACTCTCTTGGGTCCTGTCACTGGTCAACACAGAGGAGAGATCAGATCCTGCCCCTCCTCTTTCCTTCCTGAAGAAGTTGTAACTGCAATGAAGTCTGCCCTCAGTCTCCTCCAGGCTGAACAGATCAAATGGCCTTGGCTACATTTCAAGGCCTTTCACCATGTTTGGGCACTCTCTAATAGTTTACTATTGCCCAGAACTCTCCCCAGCACTCGAGGTGAGGCTGCCCCAGCTCAGAGCAGAGCAGGACAATCCCCTCCCTTGCCCAGCTGTGATGCTGTGCCTGATGCCCCCCAGGACAGGGTTGGCCCTCCTGGCTGCCAGGGCACTGCTGACCCATGTTCAACTTGCCAGGACCCCCAGGTCCCTTTCCATGGCACTGCTTACAGCACCTCATTCCCAGTCTGTGCATACATCCAGGGCTGCCCCATCCCAGATGCAGATTCCAGCACTTTCCCCTGTTGAGCTTCATATGGCTGGTGATTGCCCAGACCCCCAGTTTGTGAAGGTCTCTCTGCAGGGCCTCTCCCTGCCCTGGAGGGAGTCAGCAGCTCCTCCCAGTTTTGTATCATTTGCAAACTTGCTCAGTATCCCTTCCAGCTCCGTGTCCAGGTCACTTATGAAGATGTTGAAGAGCAGAGGGCTGAGGATGGGGCCCTGTGGAACCCCAGCAGTAACAGGTCCCCAGTCTGATGTCACCCCATTCACTGTAACCCTCTGTGCCTGACCTGTGACCCAGCTGCTCACCCATCCCATGATGTGTTTATCCAGCTGTGGGCTGCACATTAGGTCCAGAAGGATCCTGTGAGAGACAGTATCAAAAACTTTACTGGCTTCCCTTGGTCAGCTGGGTGGGTTACCTAGTCATGAAAGAAACCAGGTTGATAAGCAGGACTTCCCTCTCATGAGCTGTGCTGGCTGTGACTGATAACTGCGTTGTCTTTCAGGTGTTTTCCAGTACCCCTGGAATAAACTTCTTCATAACTTTACCAGGCACTGGAGTGAGACTGACAGGCCTGTCATTTCCTGGGTCCTCCTTGCCCTTCCTGAAAGTCAGGTCAGTGTTCTCCAGCTTCTGATCATTTGGGACTTCTCTGGTTTCCCAAGACCACTCAAAAATCATCCAGAGAGATTTTGTAATTGCAGCTCTTTGAGGACTCTTGAATGAATTTCAACAGGACCCATAGATTTGTAGGGATAAAACTGGAGCAGGACATCCTGCACAATTTCAGGGTTGACCGGGAGTTCATAATTCCTGCAGTTATGGTCCTCCATCTCAGGACTCTGAGACCCGCCTTGGTCTGTGTCTTGGTTTAAAAGACAGGTGTCTGCCAAGGAAGGCAGGAACCTTCTTGGAATGGAAAGATGATCCCCTTCCTCCAAATTATTATTATAATTTCAAAACTATGGGGCTTTGAGATAAAAATATGGGAAAAGGAATAATAGTTCTTTACTAGAAAATATATGTGTACATAAGAAGACGTAGAAAATATATATGTATGTAAGAAGAGCAAGGAACAACAACAAAGCAGTAACAGTAATTCCCATGTGTACAGTGTGAGTATCCTAGCAAAGGCAGCTGCTGACGTTCCAGTCAACCAACAGCAGGGACCCTCTCTCTGGAGAGAGAGAGGAAGGGGAGGGCCCAATCTTCCCCTGAAACACTCACACAGATGGTGAGCGTCCCCTGGGAATGGCAGGTCCCGGTCAGCCAGCAGCTCCTGTAAGCAGTGGGCTCACGGACAGGCAGCAAGGAGAATTCTGCAGCAACACCGAACCCCTGAGCAGGAGCAGTCGAGCACCCAGAACCACAACCATCTCCTCACCAAGCCGGGCAAAGACTGCCTACCCCCAGCAGAGAACTGCCAAACCCCCATTCCCTCCCTCCACAGAACCATTTCAGCAGTGTGTCACCATTTCTCTGGCAACAAATTCCCTGCAAAGAACCCAGAACAGTCCATCTGTGTTGAAGACAGGAGGCAAAGAATGCATTACATACCCCTGCATTGTCCATGCCTCTGTTTGTGAGGTGACCATCCTCATCCTGCAATGGGCTGATGCTATTTTATACTGCCTATTGCCACTAATATATTTGAAAAAAACTCTTTTTACTGTTCCCCACAGTTTTGGCAGCTGTAACTCCAGCTGAGTTTTGGCTGCATGAATTTTCTCCCTGAAGTGGAAAGCAGCAGCAGCACCTCTCTGTTCTTCCTATGTCACTTGACCTTGCTTCCACTGGGCATCCACTTTCCTTTTTTGCCTTATTTCCAAGAGAACATTCTTGTTTAGCCAAGCTGGTTTTCTGCCTCTCCAGCTTGACTGGTGACTGTTGGGAATGGCTCTTAAAAGAGGCAATGTTTAAGTGGCCAGTACTGATGGATGTCAACACTTCAAAAACATTTTCCCCCGGGACCTGATTACTAATTGCCTGAGCAGCCTGAAGTCTGTTCTCCTCCTGTCCAGAATTGAGGGTTTGCGGGCACTCTTCGTCCTGTCAACAGAGATTTTAAACTCAATCACTTTGTGGTGTCTGTGGCCAAGGTGTTTGCCAGTCTTGACTTCACTTATGAGATCCACTCTCTTGACAAGCAGTATGTCAAGGAATAAAGAGAAATAAGGTAACATTTTTGGACTGGTTTCCTCTTCCAAGCAAATGTAATTTTAAGAGGGCAGTGGACATAAGGAAATGCAGGTTTAGTTCCAGTCAGCCTCAACTACATAATTCTGGCATTTAAGGAATTGTTAGCATTATTATGGCGTGGTTTTCCAAGCAATGGAGGCCCATTATCTTTATGTGGGAAAGGTCTTCCTCTAAAAGGAAGCAGAACAACAATAATACATAAAAGACTAATTCTGCTTTTTTGTTTTTATTCCTTTCAAAATATGCATTGTCCAGTGTTACAGACTGTCCAGTGTTAGAAATATATTGTATTATCTTTTCACATGCATCAGGTTATTTGTATTTAGGCAAGTTTAAAAAGCCCCTTGAGTATATCAGGAATGTAGGAAGATGTAAATATTTCTGAAATGGGGAAGCTAGGAAAGTGGACAGTCTTAAGCCAAAAGCTTTAAGATTGTCTTTCTAATGTTGGGTCATGAGATATGTGGATTAGAGGATTATTTGGAAAGAAACAATGAGGTTCTATCTGAACATATTGATGTATATTGCTGTTTATAGTTCCCAAGAAAGTGTGTAGGGAGTTTGGTTGCCAAAATTGGAGATGCAAGTTGTTCCACACTACACTGATGGATGTTTGATATATGTACTAGTACATTTGCCCTTAGTCTGGAGAAAATAGTTTTTTTCTTTAATGTTTCCTCTGTGGCAAGTAACAGTGAGCCAACATTACAAATAAACTCCGAGTAGTTAAAGGCTTCTGTGTGGCACAGGCAAAATTGAATTTTACTTCCCTGTGGATGACAGCAAAAGAACTCTTTGTGGGCAGACAAGTGTGGTTTTGTGGTAGTGTTAGACCTGATGGTGGGGATGATGGTGCAGGTAGGTGAAGGAATTTGGGAGGGGTCAGTGGGAGTTAGGAGAAGGGGGCTCAGAGGAGTGTTTGGGAGTTCTGGGGAGCTGTTCAAAGGCAAGGAGGGATGAGTGCCATATCATATATATTTTTTTTAGGAATATGGGCAAAACTGTGCACTTATATCTGGGAGGGGTGGGAGACCTCTGAGGCCCTGAGGTGACAGGTATTTGGGCAGTAAAAAGTATGTGAAGTTGTCACATTTCCCATTAGTTAGCAAGGTTGAACATTGGTATGGCCAGAGCAGGCAGCTGGATGATGGAGAAAACAAGGGTGCAACAAGCAGCCTTTTGTCTGGGATTAGCCTCCTTCATAAGCACACTTTGATCCCAGATGCTGCTGTCCTTTATGACTTCAGATGTTGCACTGGTTTCTTTGCCCAGATGCTGCTTTATATCTCTGTGACCCTTTTATGCCTTCTGAGTAACTGCAGTAGTAGCAAGAGCAGGTGAAGGGAGGAGCCAACACTACTGAATCTCCTTTGGAGCACCTTATCCCCAGGACCTGATGTTATTTGCCTTTCTTGGTGCTTGGTTGCCTCTTGGTGCTTGGATGGAGCCAGGTACCAAAAAGAGGTTGCTGCTTTGGCCAGGGCCACCCATTTTAAAGAAAATTTTCTCACTCCATCTTTCTCTTGTCTTTCCCAAGTTTGTGATTTCAAGCTATAGCCTAGATGTTAAAGCTGTTTTTGAGGTTGTTATGCTACCAACATACTGGAGCTCCGAAAAATTGGGTAAGTTTATTTTTCATATTTTAATAATTGAAAATATATCCCCAAAACTAAATTTATATTGCCCCAAACAGACTTTTTTTGTAGTAATCCCAAAGGCTGTGCTTCAGAAGAAGAGTGCCTACAAAATCTTGAATATAGAAATATACCATGTACAAATCTTGAATGCACAAAATCTTGAGTATACATCTATTCAAAAGCTCAGATATACTATCTTGGATGTTTATCTGGAAGTTATCTGAAACAGTCATATCCTGATACCCTTTATGCATGTTGTGTTGTAATCTATAATAGTTTCATAAATAATAATTATTAATTATTAATCAAGAAGACTTCAATAAAAAATGGAGTAGCTCTGTAGTACGTAGTATTTCCCTGGAATTTCAATAGTTTTGGTAATGATAACAAACGGACATGGACCACAGATTACTGGCACCTTTTCCCTTTCTTTGTCTGTGCTGGATCGGGCCATGTTTCTGGGAGCATGTGTGTCTCTCTGTGTGTCTGTGTGTTTGGGATCATGCAAAGCTATGTTGATGATGGCAGCTAGTTGCTGCTGGACCACAAGAGGGACCCAAAGACATGCATTGCTGCCTGGTATCCCTTGGAAACTGGAAGGGTCATTAGCTTCCAGCTTGGGTTTTCAGAAAAAGTAGCTTATTTTCTTTTAATTTTAGCTTTCGGGAATTTTCCTATGACTCACCTATAAGCTTTCTGAAGGAAAGTCTGAGAAAGGCTCTAGAAAAAAGGCTGCTAGAGATAACAGATGATTTTAAGCCACTTTGTCATGGCTGCCAAGTGCACTGGGGAAAGCAGTGTAGCATCTGGACTAATAGTGATAAATCGTCTGAAGACGTTAGAAGGAGGGGATCTTCACTCATGTATTATATGGCAGGTATAAGACTAAGAAAATTAGTGTCTGGATTTTTCCCCTTTATTGGTATTTTCAACAGTATTAGTATTTTGAACATTCAGCCAAGCAAACATTCTGCTTTGCTGCAGAATGTCTCCAATTTATCATATTTTACTGCTGCAGCTTTGCAGCAGTAAAACCACTGTTACCCACTGTTCCTCCAAAAGACGAATGTAAATTATACAGTGCATGTGCAAACAGGGCATATCTTTTGTAGCAGTGGAAAACATCTTTGATATGGGCTGGTTTGGTCTGGAAAGAGCAGTGTTAGCTGGATTTACCTGCCTTAGTGGACTCATCAAGTAGTCTTGAGAAATGTCTTCCTCTGTGAAGAGATTTGATCCCTTCTTCACTGGGACTGCTACCCTTCTCTTTCTCCTGTGGGCAGGAGACATGAGGCAGGGCTGGCTCTCAGTACTCATATACCCTATTCTTTTCAATGTAAATAGTAGATATGTTTTTCTGTGTACAAGAATAATTTCCAACAGAAGGGTGAGGGAATGACTGGTGATTATTTTATTGCAGTGACAGCTCTTTATTCTTCAACTAAAAATTTAATGTTATTGAGTGATGATGTGGTAATCTAGCATCATTGACAATGACAGAATATTGTTATACCATGTTGCATCTGGGTAGCACCCTCAGTCTTAGATCAAGCTGAATCACTGTCATTAACAAGCTCTGCTGATGTGTTCTTGGAGGAGGTAATACAAAGTTATCCATGATTTACTGTTAGGGCAGTTGGGCCAATGGAATGTTTTCCTTGGTGTCAGGGAGTGAGTCAAGAGCATGACTGACAGCAATGTCCTTCTTGGCCAAGGAGGTGATGAAGTGATCTTCTCCACAACCTCTCTCTTCTCCTTCTGCTGTCAGCCTCCAGATCACCTTGCTAGGCTGAGGGGCAGGCACTACAGAACAACATACAGGCTACAGATATGCACTCACCCACTGTGGAAGTACTGCAATGGCTTTTCTCCATCTTCTACTCAGGACAGACCATGCCAAATTCTGACCAACAAGAAGGGGCTGCAAGAAGTCAATTTGTATTTTCACCTCTGTGCTGTATGAAGGGAACATACAGCATGAAGTGTAATGATAGACTGACATGAAAGGCTGTTCCCTTCCCTCTCTGCTTTTTCTGGCAGCAGCTGAACATGCAGTGACAACACACCTTCCATTACTAATATTTTGAAACCTAGAGCAGGAGAGTGCCTCAAACCACAGCCTTATAACGTAATGAAGAATACACACAGCTGCAGTAACAACCACATAATTATTTAATTAGTTTTTGACAGCTTCAAATTGCATAGGCGAAGGAATGCATGAACCGCACATGGAAACCTGCCAGCAAAGGTTTTACACGTACGCAGATGGTTTTAGCTATTGTAAGCGCAAAGCCAGGTTGCTGCACTTTTATTGCAAAGCACATAATAGCACATCATGCTCTGCAGAAGTTATATCAGGGGAATAAAAATGGCATATGTAATTATTTCATCTCCTTTATGTCATAGAATTACTTTTCTTGTATATAACTTCCCATAAGTGAGCACTGTGAGACCAAAGATGGGAATATTTTTAATCTGTGAAGTAACAGCTTCTTTGGGCTTTTGGAATAAGTAATTATTCCAAATGATACCACTACTTAACATTACATATAAATTTTTATTTTAAGATCCTATTATGGAGATGAATTAATTATTATCTCTGTTGAGAAATTATTTGTGTTTTTATTGTGAAAAAAGAAAGACAGACTCACAGAAGTGGAACAGTTTGTCAGAAGCCATGGTGTGATTCAGGGACAAAAGAGATGACAAATTAAGAATTTCCTCAGTTTTCATTTGACTCTGCAGAGAACTAGGGCAAGAAATTTCAATATATAAATATGGGAAAAATAATTGTCTGCAACAAAATGGATGCAGAGGGCACTAACATTAGTAGAAAACTGTCTTTGGCAAATTGATTATTCCAAAGGGGAAGATAATAATTTAGAAGTGAAGCAAAGCATAATGTACTGTAAATATTTGCTCTTTGGCTGCTGCAAAACCAACACCCATCTCCCAAGTCACTCAAAGTGTTTATAATTTCCATGTGTCACAGGCTCCATGATTTTATATTAGAGGGGAAGTGATTTCTCCTGAATGTACCTAATTAAGGCTAACAGCTAAAATAAAACATGAATTAATTCAAAACTTCACTCTCCACTCTAAACAAACACAAACACTGTCTGAGGTTTAAAAAGTTAAGTCCCCTTTTTTTCCACATAATTGAAGTTTTCATATTTTCCAGCCTTTGCTTTTTATGGTTCTGGCTGGGATAGGAAATGCTAAAAGCCCACAAGAAAAGGCTATTCCCATAGAGCTGTGTAAGATATTCACAACAAAAACCTAAACCATGCGGAACACGTGTGGTTTCAAGTTTCACAAGAAAGTCAAAACCCAGACTCTGTTTGTTGAAGTCTGTAACACGTTTTAAATGAAACTGGGCCCGTTTTCAAGAAAATCTGGTCAGATTCCTGGTTTTGAGTTGAAACCATCGAAATTTGGCATTTGGCAAGTTCTCAGGAGAAGTCTTGAGGCCTGATCTCACTGATGCTTCAAGGGGGACTTGCTGTGGATGGGACATAAGTGGAGGGGATGTCAGGTCTCAGCTGGGGGAGTGGGGCAAGGGCACTGTCAGGGGCTTTGGGGCTGAGGAAACAAACACAGTATAGGTGGGTCTCCTGAGGTAATGAGCTGTAGTCAAGAATGGTTGTGAGAAAGTCATGTGGCTCACATCCAGGGCAGGAGATCCTGGATATATCCTGCACACTCCTCAAAGGACCCTTTGCTCTGCCTTCTCATGTACTCCCAGAATAAAGATTAGGGGACCCTGAATACTTTGAGACTGTGTTCATCACTACACTGCATTTTGTAGGATTTATGTGGATATCACTGCATCCACATCAAAAACACATCTTTATTTTACTTACAGAAATCTCTCTGACTAAGCAAATGAAAGACTGTGAAGAAATACTTGGCACCTATGATGAAACTGTGCACTTTTAAAAGAGCTCTGTATAGAAATGAGTCAATAGTTGATGCTGCAGCCTCAGTCTCTAAGATATTATCAAGGTAAAAGTTATGAGCTAAAGTCTGATATTGCAAGGATAGATATCAGGGCAGAATTTTTTCTTGTGCATTCCTAGAAATTCTTTATCTGATACTAATACTACTGTAAATTATTGAAACTGTAAGACTTTTAAATCATGTTAAGTAATGTTAAAACCTTACCTTTAGCTTTCTCTCCTGCTATCACTTTTAAAATTTCTGTCCCTGCGAGAAGTGAAAATAGGCTAGGAAAGTTATAGTCAATGATTTAATAATATGATTAAAATGCAATATTATCTATACAGACAAGTTTATTTCTTGATCTCATAAACAGATATCGACAGCTACCATTCTCCCACATATATTGCTCTGTATGGGAGTATTTAACTGTGAAAATAAAAGCTGTTTTGTGCTGAGGCCAAAATGTAAGCAAAGAACAGAGCAGATGGTTTATGAGTACATGGAAAAACAGCATATGTCTGTGAATTAGGAAAGAGCTCTATCAGACTAATGAGTACAGAGTAGAGTTTTCCTGTTTTCCCTAATGGTAATTTATATGTGCAGTTCTGTGAATCCAGCACTGTGAGGACAATAGTTATGCTCACAAATGAAATATGGCTCGTTAAAGCTCCAGTTCTTCCATCCACATTCACTTTGATTAAGCACAGGTCAATCCGTGTGAGATAATTATTTATTACCCTGTCACTACTTCTTTTTTTTCCCCCAGACGTCTGTGTTTTGGCTTTATATAACATGATAAAGTTCCTTTCCCTAACAAGTCTTTTAATGCACTATAGTTCTGCTCTGAATCTTAACAAATGTCCACAGTGTGCAATTTTTCATAATTCATGCCTGTGGTTGTTCCTCTTAATAAGAATACCAAAGGAAGTAGGCACTGTCATCCACCAACTTGCTTCCCCAAGACCTAGTTGCCCTTACATTCATCTTGTCCAGAACTAGCTGAAAATCCCCCAGATGACTGGGTTTTCATCACTTCCCTAAGG